GAGAAGAAAGAAAGAAAGAACGAGAGAGAGAGAGAGAGAGAGAGAGAGAGAGAGAGAGAGAGAGAGAGAGAGAGAGAGAGAGAGAGAGAGAGATTCAAGGACTGGATCGCGCTGGCATGGACAGGAGTTAACAACAAGGAAGGAAGCCACGAACGCTCAAGCCGAGAGTCCTCGCGGCGAGGAGTGGCCGTTCATAACCGAACTCCCACCCTGCTCTCATCCGGCGACTGGAAACACTTCGACCTATCAAGAGCTCCCCGTACAATACTGACGTCCAAGTTGAACTATTTCTCCTCGGCCTGCGTGCCGTGTGGCACGTTCATCCTCCTTTCTTGCGCCTGAGACCTCACAACACAAAGGCCTAGATCCAGTTGCATAGGTTGCTCCACGTCTTGCGAGTGCGTCACGGTGTCGTGAGCAGACTCACAGTAGGACTTTTGTCGTGAGCAGACTCACAATAGGACTTCTCTGGATGCGTCGGGCCGCAGTGGAGAATTGGTCGATAGAGTTTGCGCGCAACCCTTTTCCAGTTTGGAAAAAAGGGCCGACTCACAGTAGGACATTTGTGGATGCATCTGGCCGCAGTGGAGAATTGGTCGGCAGAAGGCCTCGCCACATCACTCTCCAAATGTGAAAAAGACAAAAATGTGGCGGGTGCATCTGGCCATGTCCTAGCGGGAAGTTCAGTGTCTTTTTGCACATTTCGAGAGTGGTGTGGCGATGCCCAGAGTTTATTTACGCGGAAACCTTTTCCTGCAAAATTGGACCCATTTTGTCCTTCGGGACATCCGTTACAATTGGAACGATACAGAGAAAGAAGATTAGCATGGCCCCTGTGCAAGGATGACACGCATAAATGGAGAAATGAAATTGGACCCATTTTCCAGCAGTAGTTTTGATGAATCTGGAACAGTTGGTGGGTCTGCGAGGTTGGCTCGTAAGCGAAACTGGCTGATGCGGCCAGGATAACGACGGCGGGTTGAATTGTGAGGAACCCAGCCTCGTCGCAGTGTTTTCCATGCACTGAAATTCGAAGCTTTCCACCAAAAAAAAAAAAAAAGCTTTTCCTGTTTGGCAAAGAGGGCCAACGGGCCGTCGTTGTGCGATAGAGGCCACGCGGAATCCCTTCCCGTTTGGCAAAAAGGGCCCACGGGAGACCGTCGGATGGAAAAATCTGAAGGCCAAGATTGAGTCCAGAAGGTCGGATGTAAAATCTGAAGGCCAACTTGAAGATTGACTCCCGACCGTGTGGTCTCCGCCTACCGTATCAACGTGGCTATTTTTCTTGCCAAGTCGGAAAGGTTTGGGCGCGAGAACCCAAAAAAGTTCTTACCAAATTATACCTTTCTCGGCCTTTTGGCTAAGATCAAGCGTAGTATTTGTTCTGATCCGTGGTCCATCGGACCACAAAAAAGAAAAAAAAGAAAAAGGTTCTCTGCGTGGGCGTTTTCCACCATACTACGGGCAGTGTGGCTGGGTAGGATGGGTGTGGTTGGGTACACCGTGTCGGGGGATCTCCGTGCTGGGGTCGGGTGAAGTGCTCATCTTGGGGCTTCACTTTCACCCGAGCCCACTTAGCCTTATCGTTTGGTGTTTGCCTGCCGAGCCGAGAGTGTTTTTGTAGAGGTGGAATACTAGACGGATGGCAGTTGTGTTCTAGTCCTGTATTCGAGATACACGATTCAGGGCATCGCTGCATGCATGGACCGCAATTACGTCCATTCAGTATGTGAATGGCGAGCCAAAAGTTGTCTGGGCCCGCTGTATTTTCCAGGATTTCGTGTCGTGCTTATCCTACCGCCCAGCTACCCTGTCGTGCCCCTCTGACCGGGATTCAAATTTACCATAACAAATCCCCCGCGTCAGCTGGGCCTGAAATAGTCTTGTTATGCCCCTAGCGGTACCCATTCCAAATCTGCAGTATGCCCCTACAGGATAGCCGTTGAGGACCAGCACTACCATTTTCGATATGCCCCTACCAGTAGGGTGCATGTTTTCATCGCACCTTTATGGCTAGGCGCACGGCAGCCACTTCATTTCTCTCTCTCTCTCTCTCTCTCTCTCTCTCTCTCTCTCTCTCTCTCTCCTGTCTCTTATACACATCTAGATGTGTATAAGAGACAGCCCGGGGTTGGGGCAGGGGCGGGGGTGTTTTGGCGGGGGTGGGGGTTGGGTAGCCCCACGGCGGGGGTCCGGGGGTGAAACCGCTACCACAGCTTAGGCCCCGGGGATCCCCACGTGACAACGCTGGTTGTCAACCCGCTTCGTCCGGGTATGCAAGCCAGGTTCGCCCGTGTGCCACAACCGCCGTGGTCCGCACGTCATCCCCGCATATTGGGCACCATTTCGATCGCCCAACTCTCTCGTCTACTCACCTTCCGAGCTTACTCGTTAGCCGATCCTCACTGACCGCGCTAACTTCCAAATTCATAGAGAGGAAACTAATTGTGCTGGCAAAATTTATAGCATGCATGCTTGCGCAAAAAACTCGGGATTATGCCTGAGCAGGGGAAAAGAAAAGGTGCCTACGTCTGCATGGCCAGGCCGCGGCACGAAGGACGACGCCACTCTCCGCGCATCGATCCAGTCATGCAACATTGGAACCAATTAGAACAGAGAAGGAAGCGTGCATGTGCGGGCGAAGGTGGGGCGGGGAAAAGACATCAAGAACGAGGAATTTACAGTTTTAATTACACCCGCCAAAGGTTACAGTTATGCGCAGGATTATGGCGCGGACAAGTCAGAGCCCAGATCCTGCTGTGGTAAGGCGTGCGCAAGCAAGAGGCACCATGCAGCCAGATTGTGAGGTACCTAAATTCCTGGCCTAAATCCTAATTACAAAAAGAAATTCCGAAAGAAAACAATTTTCGAGAGTTCGCGGGGGCTCGGCACCAGTTCGAAAATGCAAAAACGACGTTCCCGCGCGATGATCGCGCCAAAAGTCCCAGTTCCCACAGCAGAACAAGAAAGAAGCTATGGCAACAATTATCTTTCGCACTCGCCAAGGCGCGGTCACTTCAACTGCCTACCCGGGACTTTCCCGGCTCTGGTCAGAAGGTCCAAAAAGAAAGAAGCGAGGGCATCCATGCAACTTGCCCGACCGACCCATCCTTATGCTTCTCACCCGACCAACCCGTCCGAACCCGTGAAGCAGCTTCACGCAGAAAGTCGCATGGTTACGGGAAACAGCTCGTCACAGCCCGTCGGACCAGCTAATAGCCGTGTGGAGCCTGGGTTGTCATGACGAGGTTTCCCACCTTGTACCCTTGGGACTCTTGTAAAAAGTACCTTATTCCAGGTACTTCAGATCTCAATGGGTACAACCCCGGTCTGCTCTCTTATCAGCTAAATGCTAATCGGCAGTGCCCTAAGTAGCTCAGCAACGCTGCCACAACCACAAGTAGGTCTCCCACTACCTCCAGTCGTTCCATTGCCTGCTACTGGCAAGCCCAGTATAGATACCCAATTTCGCTTACAGCCCAAGACAGCCCGTGAATCGGTCAAGAACTACTGCTAATGTATGCAGTAAATCCTGCCTAACTAGCTCAACCTATCAAATTCACCAGAGTTCCCCAGACAGATCCCCTATACAGAAAAGCAAAAATCAATACCAAAGGAGAGGCCCGTCGAATCAGCTAGTAGCCGTGAGGAGCCTGGGTTGCCGTGACAAGGTTTTCCACCTTGTACCCTTGGACCTCTGTAGGAGCTGCTGTATTCCAGGCACCTTAGATCTCAATGGGTACAACCCAGGTTTGTACTCTTCAGCTAGATGCTAATAGGTCGTGCCCTAAGTAGCTCAGTGAGGTTGCCACAACTACAAAGTAGGTCTCCCACTACCCCCAGTAGTTCCATTGCCTGCTACGGACAAACCCCAAACTGCCACGCAAATGGGACCAGGGCTAAAGCAAGGATCATGCTGTAGAGATAGCATGCAAGAACCCCTGTTTGAGTGAAAGGAAAGTGCTGGCTTACCAATCAAGTACGACCGGACCGAAATCAGCGAAGTAGACAAATTCAAACTACGAGCTAAGTTCGCCGCCCTGGGCTCTTCCCTTTCCTACAAGCAGGCGTGTGCTAAGGTGCACACTACAGCCAGAGATAGAGGGGAGCAGGGATCTGGCCTATGGAAACCCTAAAACATGAAAATATACGCTGTTATTGCTTACAAACCAAGTACTAGTACTATGTCATACAAAATTTCACTGACAACTGAGACTTGTGAAGGGAGCCCAGGAGGCGACTGAAAACAAACAAGAATAAGACGAAGGACAGAGTAACTCGAAAGTCATGGAGAAGAAAATGCAATGGAATTTCGAATCTGAGGTAAATAAAAGGCCCGGATAAGAGTAGTTGATGTAACTACAGTATGAGTGTCTCCATGTATAGTGCCGCAGTTACACCCAGAACGCTCCCACCGCCACCAGAGGAACTCCCAATCCCAAAGGTGGCGCCGCGCCTGTAGAGCTCCAGGTCATGTCTTCACTCTCCTGGCAGAGATAGTCACCAGCACTCCGTACATGCTCCTCAGAAACAACAGTCCCACCACTGCCAGTTGCCCTCCCACTGCTCCTGGAAGTGCCTCTGTCTGACTCACCATTCGCCAAGCACTAGAGTCTCTCTCCCTTCTTCGTGCAGTTTGCAGTGTATTTAACCCATAGATGGGAATAATACAGCAGTAGAAAACACTCTATTTCTAGAGGTACTCAAATTCTAGAGGTTGAAGGTCGTAGGAGGTCGTAGGAGGGACAGGAAACACCCTGCTCCCTGATATTCCACAGAGAGGCGCAGCCGTTTGTCAAGGCTGAGGGTAATGGCCGAACCTAGAGCATACCGAGTACTCCATAGCTCCGCCCCCCCACACCGAATCCCGCGCCTTGCTGCCAATGCCGAGCGCCGTGGTCTCGGAACGGCTATACCATCAGTAGCTCAGCACTTCAACTTCCCTTCCGGACTCTGTTTTTTTTTTTTTGGAAAACGGCCTGGCCCACGGACCTGGATGACCAGACTGCAGTTACAAACTCTGCAGAGTCTGCCCTGTGACAGCCACGCAACAGAGGAGCCTGGCCTGCAGTGTAAACTTCAGAGGGGAGTGGAGAGGAGTCAAACATGCAGGCGTTTTCCTGTGCAGCAAGGATATTGCATTATAGTCTGAAGGAGTGGAGAGTTTCCGCTATGATCAGTTCGGCTACGTTTTTCTGTGCTTCAAGGCAATTTTAAGGAGTTCTTCTTCCTTTCGAGGCTGAGTGGTCTTGGGACGCTGGACCCGGTTTCCAGCAGGTTTTTCTTTTCCTTGGCAACACCGGGAGGGAGATCCCACTAGCATTGTATGTGGAGTAGTGTAGAGGGCGTGCGACCCGCCTCCGCCGTCGATGGGAATGGGGATCGGTGGTTTTGTTTTTCCTGTATTTTAGCCCTCGAAAGTATATGTTTTTTTGGAGCATCCCATTGGGTGGTCTTTCTTTTGTTTTGCTTGCCGTGTTCCTCTGGGGGTCCCGAACGTGAGTGAAAATCAGACCCATTTTTTTTGTGTTGCTTTTCACTCACCTTTCACTCACCTTTGGGTCGTGGCCCATGCGTGGAAGAGAGGCCGAAAACCAAAATTTTTCGGTGTTTCCCATCATGAGGGAATGTCAGTCCGTGTCAGACCCTCGTCCAAGTTGTCTGTAGTCCCGGCAAATGTTTCACATGGGCAATGCTGTTGTCCTCTTCCTTTGACATGCATGTGCCCCCTTATTTTTGGGGAGGTGTTTGGGAGGGTTCGATCCCCTGACCTACAGCAAATGGTGTATGGAGTTACTCTTGCCCTTGTTTTTTAACGTTTATTTTCCCTATTTCACGCTGCCACCCACCTGTCCCCCACCCGTCCCCCACCCGTCACACTAATCCACATACCTGGCTAGTGGGATCCCCCTCCGGGTAGAACTTTGAGGTCCCCGGCCTCGACCACTTTTGTTTTTGAAATATAAAGCTATAACTTCTCCAAACAAAAAGCAAAAAAAAAACGGCAGTTTCAAATGTACTTAGAAACTCGAACTATGACAGGGCCCTAGTTTTCTCTTGGAGAAAAATGATTGGCAAAAATCGTGTTCGTGCAGTTTGTTTGATTCATTTTAAAACCATTAAAAAATGCAAAATGCTGTCACACAGAACGAGGCCCCAGACCAAAAAAAAAAAAAAAAAAAAACGAGGCCCCAGATGTTTCGGGAAAGAAAAAGAAAGAAACATTTTCCCGTCGCAGATTTTTACGGGCTGTGTGGCGAGGCGACACTGTCGAAAATCCCTATTTCGGCAGTGGTGTGGCGAGCCCTTACAACAGCCTTCCACGTGACAGATGCAGAGGCCACAGTCTTCTATCAGCCATACGTACGCAAGGTAGCAAGCCTGTCCATCATCATCTGGACTCCATCTTCGCCGGAGGACCAAACAAACAGCACAACCCCAACACATCATCCATCTTTGCGACAGATGTAGAGGCGACATTTCTCCCCCTCTTCACCCGAACACAACGCACCCTGATAATGAATGTATACATGCCCCTCTTTCCGGCCCTTTGCAGCGAAAATGAGGGACCCGGTGCATTGTGTTCGGGTGACACGGGAAGTATAGGCAACAAGGTGGCAAGCCTGTTGATCAGCAGAACTCCATCTCTGTTTTTTTTTGTTTTTTTTTTTTGAGGAATTGGTT